GTGGCTGGTGACTGCTCGTCAGAGACGTAGAGCTCCAGGGCCAGGGCAACCTGCAGAAAAGTACAGGGAGAGAGAGAGGACACGCTACAGGAGAGAGGAGACACAAAGTTAGTAATGTGTAATGGTGGCATATAGAAGCATAGGGAGAGAGAGGAGAGGAGAGCAGAGCAGGAGGGGCGGGGAAAGCAACTAAGAGCATCATGGGGCCCCCCAGCAGCCTAGGCCTATAGCAACATAACTAAGGGAAGGCTCAGGGTCACCTTATCCAGCCCTAACTATAAGCTTTATCAAAAAGGAAAGATGTATTCATTCACACACCTTCATCATCCTCACAACCACCATGTGTGTACACACTGAACCCGTGTCTGTCAGGTGACGGACTTTAACCAGTCCAGGATCCTGGAGGAGGCCATGCTGATGAGAACTCTATGTGGGACGCCGTCATACCTGGCGCCTGAAGTCTTCACCCACGCCTCCACCACAGGGTACGGCCTCGCCGTGGACGCATGGAGCCTCGGAGTCCTGCTCTTTGTCTGGTGTGCTTGCTGGTCCTCACACCTGTCTCACCCTCAGCTGTCTGTCTCTGGCTGAAAGTTCTTCAGAGCAGACAGGGAGGACTGACCATCAGCTCAGTCATGGATATCTGTGTTTGTTTTCCCCCCATTAACCTGTCTCTCTCTCCACCTGTCTCCCAGTCTGGGTGGTTATCCTCCATTTCATGAGAGTTTTGGTCCTCAGTCGACCATAGATCAGATCATTCGAGGAGAATTCACCATGGTTCAGTCCAAGTGGAAACACGTCTCTGACCAAGGTACTGCTGTAGTACTACTGTAATGCCACTAAAACACAATTATAGTACTTTTGTTCTATTGCCAAAACACTACTGCAGTACTAGAAGAGGTGTTGTCATTTCTCTAAGTTGAGCCAGAAGCTGCTGAGACACACTGAGGAACGAGCGTTTCAGGTATTTTGCCCACCCCCGTCAGTACGTTTGTGTGTTTACAGCAAAGGATGTGGTGAGGAAGCTGTTGGTTGTTGATCCAAGTAAGAGGATTACTATAGACGAGGCTCTGCAGCACCCCTGGTTACAGGTAACTACTGCAGTAATACTACAGTTGTACTGCATCAGCACAAACTAACCACCATGAAATATACTGTACATATCACAATGCAGCCATTCAACAGTGAAGTTGGTCCCAGATCTGCTGCCTGGTCCTGGTCCGGCCTCTTCAGCCTGTGAGAACATGAGCAGGTCCAGGTTCAGCACAAGTATTAATAAATACCATGTCATGGCCCACCGGTAAAGTTATACTGCAGTACTCATCTCAGTACTGTGGTGCAGCTGACAACACTCGGGTTCAAAGGCAACAACAGGGAGTGATACCGCCTAATGAAAGACACTATCCAGGTGCATCTTGGGGAATGTAGGAACCAATGTTAGGTATAAAAGTGAGGACACCTCCACCTTTGCTGCTCAGATTCTCACTCTGTGTTTGTTTTTAGGACCGTGCGATGATGGAGACAGCTCACACACTCATGTACCCGCCTGGAGACGCTGCTGCCACCATGGTAACCATGCACGAACACACCAAGATAAACACACACTAAATATCCTTAATTTATTCATATATGTAATCAACTTTTCGATCACGTCTGAACACTAATATGACACAGCCTGGCGCCAACAAATAAGCAGTGACATCATCAGCAATTCGCAAATCTGAGTTAATCAGTCAGCGAACATTCCTGATCCCCCCCCCCCCGTAGGTGGCGGGGTTAGCCACTGGGAGGAAACGAGTGCGAGATGGAGACGAGGAAGAGGAACAGCCGGCCAAACGAAGCCAAGCCCCGCCCCCTGCCCAGCTGTAGAGGGCCAGTCAAATTCAGCAGGTTCCCGACGTCATGTGACTACTGAAACACTGCACTGTAAAGTTTATAATGGTTCAAATAAAGTCTTTTATATTTTTCACTGTGTTTTTATCCTGAACGTCTGTTTTGTTCAGTGCTGCAGTTTTTATCTCCACGCTGAAAACTCGTTAAGACGTGGACTAAGGAAAACTCCAGCCTCAGCAGGAGGTTTATCAGTTTGATATTAAAACAGGTGTTTTTACAGGTTCTTCTCTTTACCTGTGTCCATTAAGGCACAGTGCTTACCTCAGATCAGCTCTGGATGTGCTGAGCTGTTCCCAGAACAAACAGCCCCACAGGCTGAGGACAGCGTCACTCTGCTCTGCCGACACCCTCCATCAGCTCCTCGCTGCACAGGACAACGAGTCAGAGCTGGCTGTCGGAAACAGAAACCCGCCCCCCAGCGTGGCTTGTGGGGGTCTAATAGCTGGTGGACAACAGTGGAGGTCTGCGGCGCAGAGCGATGAGCTGGACCAGGGTCTGGACTCACATCACGGTGAGGACACCACGTCCACTGGTGCTGCTGGTCTCTGGACGGGGTTGGTTAGAGGTCAGTGAGAAACACTGACTGCTGGTGTGAATGTAAGTCGACCACATGACGACGTCTGACACCTCCATGACAAACTCCATCCACTGATGAAATCCCTGGAAAAAAGCTAGTGAGGGGATGGTCTCTGCTGAGACCAGAGATGTCTCATATTTACAAAGTCCTTTTCAACTCTTTTTAATGTTATTACATATTTTGTCATTAAACTAGACACCTAATTTGGTTTTTACAGGCAACTTTGATCATTAACACAACATATGTCATTGCAAAACTAATTACTTCACAAAAGCAGCAAATTTCTTTTAAACTTCCACATGTTCAGATTTTCTTCATATTTTTTGGTCGTGGTGGTATGCTGTCATACCCTCACCATCAGCACGTGACTGGTTTGAGCTGTCATGCACTGTGCAGCTTGTGGAAATGTGAAAATAAAAACTCAACTTTATTTCTGCTTCACTGCAAAGATCATTTTACTGTTAAAGTGCTTAGAAGTCAGGTTTTCACCAAATCAAACATCACAATGAATTAAAATATATTTTAGAAACATCAATAAACTCATGTGCAGAGTCAACATGTTCTACCTGACACACCTGAGCCCACAGGTGTTGTGGGGTTTGTCACTGCAGCAGCACAAATGTCCTCTCATCCTTTAACCCGTGTTGTTCATTTGGATCTTGTGAGGCGTGTTCTTTTTTATATTGAAAGAAGACTAATAAGAGGATATATATATTTCACAGTGTGAAATTTATTATGCATTAACGTATCAAAATTAGCATGTGCACATGGATCTCCACTGTTTAGGATAAACGGAAAAGACTGACCTCAACTTAGTGGTATACAATATTTGTATGAAAAGGTGGTACTATCTAATTGGTCAAAAACTGTTCGGGAGAAGCCGTGGTTTAGACTTAACTCTCCTGTTATTGGTCCTTCAGTCCGTCCGTCCTCCAATCGTCCTCTCTGCTCTAATCATCGTGGACAGCACCCTAGGAAGGGGAAGAATACCTATACTACTTTAATTCCTACATACACACTCACTTCTTCCTTTGGTTTCAACTAACTGCTCCATATTACGCATTGCTTTCCGTTTCACTTAATTAAAACTGTTCTGCCTGCGTGTGTGTGTGCATAACTGTTCTCCCTTTGAAGCGTTCTCATCTACGTCTAATCTATTTTAATAAACTTGGAGCCTTACCGTACCAAGACTCCTTTGGGTCCACCGGTCCAGAGGAACAATACGTAACTATGAGCTCCCTTAGTTTCGGCCATAAATCTAATGAAATTCAGTAATTTAGTGGACAAGACTTATGATGTTGCATTAGTGTTTCAGTGACTCACACAGAAAATATTTGACCAGTGGTTCAGCGAACACATAGGGTGATATTCATAACTATATAAACATAACAGTGACATAAGTATGTAAACTTATGTGTGCTATAAAATAAACCATTCTTAAGTGCATAAAATAAAAATCACCCTAACAATCTACAATATTTTCATGTGGAAATTCAGAAAAAACATTTGTCACTCATCAAAGTGAAAGAGACTGAAAACCTTCCTGGTGAAATGAAGTGTTGTTAAACTGACTCGGGTGAAGGAGGGTTTCCTGTACTTTACTAGTTGTGGTGACAACATGCAGCTGATATGACAGATCACCCTCACATCAACCTGTCAAATCAAGTTAAGGGATTCCATACCTCAGGTGGCATCAGGACTAAGACAGAAAACATGAATTTTATAAATGCGCAGATGATTGATTTCAAATTCAATAAACCAGAAGAGACTCCACAGGACGATGAAGACCAGAATGACCAAACACACCTGCTTTTATCCTCATGGTCTCAGCAGTTTTCAGGTGAAAACCTCTGAACATTTCACACCTGGCTCTATCAGTGTCTGGATGGTGACTGGCTCCTCCAGTCCAACTGCATGTGTGTTCTGATTCCACCTCATGGATGACATCACTCCTGTGGTCCATGAATGTGTGATGATGTCACAGCTTGGCTTTGTGGCGGTCTCTGACAGCATACAGGATGGCATGAGCTCTGTCGAAGGCATCACTGATGGCTGACTGAACTCTGCTCCTCCACCTCTGCAGCTGAGGACGACCCTGCAGGACGTCTCTGCCTCCACCAAGTGGCTGCAGACACACAACATGCGCAGGTAAGCTTACAGCAAATCAGGTGTGTGGGAGGGCCTCATCAATATCTGAACCAATCAAAGCCTCAGACCTGCATGAGCTCACAGATGGCAAGCAGGTCGGCCACTGTGATGTCATCACCGCAGAGGAAAGCCTGTCTGCGAAGAAACATGGTCTCCAGTTTGTCCAGTGTGTCATCGAGCTGAGAGAGAGCACGAATCAAACGCCCCTCATCCACCTGGGAGCCAGACTGAGCTGGGAGGAGCACCTGAGACAGGTGGAGACAAAATTGATTTTGTATAGAAACTACAGATTGGACCGCTCTGCGTCTACACACCTTAGCGATGCAGACTGCCCTTAAACAACAGAAGAAAAAGTCTGGGATTAGTGTCAGAGCAGGGAGACAACAGTCGCTCTGTGTTCCCAGGTTGCAGTGGCGTGGACATGGGGATGTTCCGGTTGGACATACAGGTGCATCCTCGCAGGTAGATTATAGAGGTGTGTGCCTACCTCCAGCATAAAGACTTTAGCAGCGTGTGGTCGAGTGTTGCTGTGGTGCCAGGCCGTGTATTCGTCCACTCGGGCTCGTCTCTCTGGTTGCCGTGGATACCAGTGCTCCGGCACGTTGTACCTGGTGGCCAGGTACTTCAGGATGGCATCACTGCAACACACAGTCACAGGATGGATAACACCACCAAAACAAGAGCAGAAACATCTGAGAGCATCGTCTGAGGAGAAACACAACCACAGAACACGACTGAAGTTTAACAGAAGGCAGAGTTATTCAAAACCATCTGAAAAGCAGGTTGTGTGTCCACACATGGAGACAGCTTTACACTGATGCAGTGTACGTGGGACAGAGTTTCTGTTATCTATACAAATGGATACCATGCAAAACAGCCTATGCATACGGGGCTGCCAACATCGGGGAACGCCGGGCCAGCCGTTCCAGGCCCTGGGAGCCCAAAAGGGCCCTCTAACCTTTAAATCATATATGTCAAACTCAGGCCCACGGGCCAAATCTGGCCCACAATGTAAGTATATTTGGCCATGGAGATAATTTCAAATGTTTATTAGAGCTGGCCCGCCAGTATATATTGCATGCACGGTTAATACTGCAAATCCCAGAATGCCTTGCTAGGGCGTTGACGCGTCAATCAAGACCAGCAAGCACCTTCTGTTGACATTCATTAGCAACCTCATGCTACCAGTCACCTCGGGCAAATTTAATCCACTCCTCCCAAAAAATGGCCAAATGAAAGATGGAAAACAGGAACTTTCAAAGACAAGTGGGAGGAAGATTATCTGTTCATTAATGTAAAGGACAGACCTGTTTGTCTTGTGTGTGGAGCCAACGTGGCTGTAATGAAAGAATATAACGTAAAAAGACACTATGAAATGAAACACCAAGACAAGTACAAGGACCTGGACATGAAGCAGAATCTCCAGAAGGTGGAGGAGATGAAAAGAAGTCTGGTTTCACAGCAGAAAATGTTCACAAAAGCAAAATCAAAAAGTGAGGCTGCTGTAAAGGCTAGTTTTATTGTGGTAGCAGAGATAGCTAAATTGGCCCAGCCCTTTAATGAGGGAGAGTTTGTCAAAAAGTGCATGATCAAAGTTTGTGATGTCGTGTGCCCAGATAAAAGGCAAGAATTTTTAAATGTGAGCCTTAGCAGAAACACTGTGGCTGATGGTGCATGTGAGCTTGCCACCAATCTTCACGAACATCTGATGGAAAAGGGAAAAGATTTTATTGCATACTCCCTTGCTGTGGATGAGAGCAGCGACATCTGATACTGCCCAGCTGTCAATCTTCATCCGTGGAGTGGACTCAAGTCTGTGCATTACAGGGGAACTTTTGGGATTAAAATCAATGCATGTCACAACCACAGGAATAGAACTCTTTGAGGAGGTGTCCAAATGTGTAACTGAAATGAGACTGCCTTGGGATAAACTTGTGGGATTGATGACAGATGGTGCGCCTGCAATGTGCGGTCAAAAGAGTGGACTGCTGGGCAGGATGCGGGAGAACCATGCAGGTGAACTTACAGTTTATCACTGCATCATACACCAGGAATCGTTGTGTGGCAAAGCCCTGAAAATGTAACGTTATAAGCACCTTAACATGAGTAGTTAAGTTGATAAGAGCCAAAGGTCTGAATCACCGCCAGTTCAAGTCTTTTCTGGAGGAGACTGGTTCGCAATACAGAGAAGTGCCGTATCACACAAAGGTGAGATGTCTAAGCCAAGGAAAAGTACTGAACAGATGTTTCAAGCTGCGTGAGGAAATATGTCAGTTTATGGAAAGCAAAGGGAAAGATGCAACAGAGCTCCAGGATAAAAAGTTTCTGTGTGAGCTAGCATTTCTGTGCAACATCCCGAGCCATCTCGATGTGCTCAACCTGCAGTTTCAGGGGTGAAACTGTTTTATCACAGACATGTACATTTTTAAAACCAAGTTGGGCCTGTGGGAGACTCAGATGCTGCAAGGAAACTTGGGCCATTTTCCGTGCTGCCAAAACATTAAAGAGCGGATTATCTAGTGGTTTTGGTGTCTGTGCATATTCTCAGTCATCCAGGTCATAGTAAGCTGAAAAAAAACTTAGACAAAATCAACTGGACTAGATTTCTAGGTCGAAGACGTTTCACCTCTCATCCAAGAGGCTTCATCAGTTCTGACTGACTGGTGTTGAGCCAGATTATTTATTACTTAGTTGTTTTGTTGTTGGCCTGTGAAAAAGGGTTTACACTTAAAATGAACTCGAAAGGCTACAGATAGATGCATAAGAATTTATTTAATTAAATGATAACTGTGCATTTGAGTTTGACACCCCTGCTTTAAATAATCTGCTGGGATAATCTGTCAAAAACACACATTTGTGGAGACTTTAAATCGTATTGTTGAGTCACATGAAAGCTTGTTATTTTTATCTTGACAGAGTGGTTGAAAAACATTTTTTACATTTTCAACATAAATGTACCTAAGGCGTGGTCAGATCGATAAATGTGTGCGCTGCCATTGTTCCATAAGTCTCTGATGTGGTGGGCCATAGCTTTAGTTAGTGTGGAACAGACAGGCTGGTCCACGTGCGTGTGTGCGTGTGTACCTCTCAGTGAGGACGAAGCCGCTATCCACCATGACAGGAACCTTCTGCATGGGGTTCAGCTTGGTGAATTCTGGGGTCCTGTTCTCTCCTGCACACAGTTTAATTATAATGGTTCATCGTGGTTCTGGGTCCGACACAAAGAGGAACCAGGAACTTAACAGTCAGACAGGAAGCTCAGACCAAACTCCGTTCAGAAGACACACGGTTTAATGCCCCTTATCTTGGGTTTCCACACAGACGACACCAAAAAAGCTCTCACGGTGTTTTGAGAATCGGCTACATGAGACTTTATTTCACTTTCAGCCTTTTTGCTTTACACTTCAAACAACCTTTGCCAACCTTTGAGCGGCGAGAATTACATCTGGAAAAATGACATTTTACTGAAAGTTTAGCCGTATTCTGAATTTATCGGAAGACCCTGGCAACCTGTAACTCATTTTCAGGTGTATCCTGCAAATTTAATGAGGCAAGATAAAAGTATCAGTTTTGTGCCAAGAGTTGTGATCTGGGTCAAAGTTCTCCGGGGAAATGGTCGGGACGAAGTTAAAGGTCAAAGTTTTTATTTGTCATATGCACAGTTAGGAAACGTGTTTCCCTGTACAATGAAATTCTTACTTTGCCGTGCACATGAATGCCACATAATACAAGTGAAATATAAAGTAGATGAGCAATAACACAAATCTAAATAGCCAGTAAGAAGAAAAAAGTACAACAAGAACACAATATAATGTAGAGAGAATATTCGCTACGTGGGAACCGTGGAGTGTAAATACTCAGCAGTGAGTTGTGCATGTGCAAAATGAGTGTGCAAACAATACAGATGCAATTACACGATGAACTAACACCTTCAGGCTTCAACCTGCTGACTAACATAGTACGAACCAGTTGGTCAGCCCGTCAGTTAACCAGTCCCCCGGTCAGTTAGTCAGCCCTGTAGCCGGTTAGCAGCTCACCTTTCCGCAGAGCCACGGTGCGGACTCTGTGCGGGATTCCGGCGCAGCTGAGAAATATGTGCACCGCCCGGCAGGGCTGCGACATGAGGTCCAGATACACTTCCACCTGCCGGCCTGCTGCCATGGAGACTAACGAGAAACGGCGAAATAAGCAGAAACCACCAAATAAAAAGCAGACCCTGTTCTTCTGTCTGCACTCTACAGCCTGTTAGCGGGTCCGGCTGCTCATGTCCGCCCCCTGCAGGCCGCTCGGCACACTGCAGCCGCCCCCGACCAGGCTGCACGTGGTCTCTGCAGCTTCTCAGAGAGGCAAACAATAATTAGATGCAATAGTGAGAGTACATCAATGTTTTATGTGCATTAGTATAAAATCTATGCAAAAAAGACAAACTGCATGCTCTTGAGGACTAACAGACCAATATACAGTAATATCCTGGAGCCAAATATGCTATAATAAAATAGAAATACATAAATAAAGAAATACAACTGTCAGGTTTGCTCGGCGGCACCTGCTTCTCTCACCTCCCTTTCTTTGTTTTTCGATCCCTGATCACATCACCTTGCACACCTGCCACTCGTTTCCCTAATTGACACCAGCTGTTTTCACTCTGTCCTTCACCTTATTTATACCCAATTCACTTTCCACTCCCTTGCCAGTTCCTCGTGCTTTCAGGCCGACAGCGCCATTCTCTTACTCATTCTCACAGTTCCTGTTACCATTGGTTTTTGTTGTTTCAGTCTGTCTACCCTGCCTCGTTCCTCGACCATTCTCCACGGACCATT